AGGCAGAAAAGGCCTTCCTAGTGTCCCCTGTCTTTGCTGGTAATGTCCTTTTAATGAATTCTTTTTAGCAAAACAATTTCCCGACTTCTAACCGTAATTATCCGTTTTAGTTAATATTTCTAAAATTTCGGGGAATGTAACCCTTCAATGAAAGCAATTATAATGGGGTAGTTTACATCTTAAACTTTAACACGTTGCTCGTTTCAACAATTAGGTAAGGGTAATTAATCATGATTTAGAAACAAATCTAATTCAGTTCCTTTCCTAAAGGCCATAAATCGCCGTTTCTCCACGTGAAAAAACTGGGTCACATGGTTGCAAGATATCTCTTTTGGCGAACTATTATCTGGATAGCATTTTGAGCAATTTCCTTTTAACTTATGGCCATACGTTGTTATTTAAATATTCAAGTAAGTCCACACATGTTTAATAAAATAAGACATACTTAAAGCCTTCACATGTCGGCTTTAAGACGTCATGACGTTTCACTTAAGTCACGAACGCTAAACTGACATATGCATATCCGCATCAGGTTTTCTCAACAAGTAAACTAGTCTATTTTTTGATATTTTCGATATAAATTGAAAGATGCACTGGCAGGGACTTAAGTAGTTCATCCTGTGAGATATAGTCTTCGATTTTGCCGAAAAAATGTTTTATTACTTGTCATTTTAAAAGACATCTAGACATTGGTTTTGCATGTCGCTAATGGCGCAACATAACAAGTATATTGAAATTCGTTTAAACTAATGTAAATTTGGTTATTTAAGGACACTTTATAGGAACCGACCTGAACGCTGCCAATATTCACACGGATAGCTAGCTTTTTTCGTTTTTTCTCTCTAAATAGTAGAAAATACTAATTGCTAATCTCTTAAATCCTATTTACTCCCAACAATTACTTCGACACTTAAAGCAGCTATTTTGCACGTTCCCTGTTTTATTTGGTCATGGAGTAGTCTGTTTATAAAATATCGTTATTTAACTGCTTTTTTTTGGGCATCAGTTTGATGCACGTTGCAATTTTTTTCTACCTCTCATATCCGTCATATTTCATACCAGTCTTTTTTCGATTATATCAGAGATGCAACTGGCAAGTTCCCTGACTATCCGAGTGAAGAAGCCGGTGGTTCATTGTGGGTCTTCAAACAAAAACCTCCCGAAATGTTAGCTGCTGAAGAAGCTGCTCGCGTAAGCTTGAAGATTCCTTGATTTCATTTATATTTATTATAGTTCAAGGTTTTGTTTATGCATTGTGATTTAGATATATAGAATAGACCGTGGCTCTTTGAGAAACCACTTTTTCAAACTATTTTCCCCATTGTACCTCATAGGCAATCAAACTGTGCTCATAGTTACTAAACCCAGACTTCTATGCTTCCTCCTTACGAAGTTCAGAAAATAACTAGAAATCACTAGTGCTTATTCTGATTTTCTGTACGCTTCTTAAACCTGAACACTGCCTTTTGGTTCAGCAAAAGATGCTTCTGATTTCCACATAAAAGACAAAAATAGCTAGCCGGAATTATGACAGTTTCAAAAACTCTATTCTTTATTTCATTTTTATGAAAATAATAATCGTTTTTAATTCCTCCAAACAAACAGTGCATTATAGCAAATTTACACATCTGCTGCTCCCATATTCTCTTCACTTTTGAAGCTGCTAGCTGAACAAAAAAGAAGGGAGAAAGAAAAGGGGAAGGTCGCGAAACCAGCAGCTCAAAAAAAGAAAAAGGTTTGCCGTCTGTATCATCTACTCGCATGTTGCTTTGAACATTATGCCACATTAGGCAATCACCCGCACATTATTACCGGAAGGTTGACAATTTCTCAGTTTGCTTCTAGGATTATGCTATTTCTGAAATGTTTTTGCTCTGGTGACGTACTGTTATCTGGAAGAGTTCGAAGGATTGTGGGAAGGGAGCCTTCTCTTGTATGCAGTTAACCGTAGAGATATTTCAATAGTTACTTTAAGATAAGCAGCCCGAAGCTAAAAGCGCATTAGTGGAAGTATTATAAACATGTAGCCGACTATAAAACCTCTCCTGCATTATAGGCAAAAAGAGTCAGTTTTTACGTAAAAAATCAGTGATTTGTTTTTTTCCCTGACCTTTAAGTTCTTAGTGTGTGTTTTCAATAAATTTTTATTCAGCTCATAGCCGGCAGCCAAAAATGTTGACCAAAAGTATCTCCCAACATCAAGACAGCAGGGAACTTTATCTGGAGAGATTTATTAATCGTTTGTTGATTCAGTCAGCAATATCAGCATAAATCCATAGAGCTGGTTGCTTCCCCTGCGTTCTATGGAATTTCTGGCTAGGTTAACAGTGTCGGCTACAGGGTGCAGGGGCATGTATTCCAAGGGACCACAGTTAATACTGTTTGCGGTTGCGTCAAGTACTCTCGTGCAGCCCAGTCTGGGGTTGGTTGTGCGAGTTTTTAATCGTTATTGCAATGTGTTTTAAGCCTTTGCGTTTCTTGCATCTTTGTGACACCGTGACTAATACCGGTTGCTGGAAAATTGTGGGTCCCCTGGCCGACTTCTACGCTCACTCTGTCTGAATATGGGCTGGTTGTCGAACCCATGGGTAAGCTAACTGAACCGGGCTTGACTCTGGTCTCATTGTTATACCCGCTATTAATACATTACTAGCTGCACGTTCTGATATATCCTTGATGACGCAGGAGCGTGAAGCAGCTTGTGTCGCAGACCGTTTACTGGAATGAGTTACCTAAAAGTCAGTTAATACTCACAACTTATCAAAGTGACTCAGTGTCAAGCCCGTCGAAGTTGTCCCAATTTTGCAGCGTGAGCTGTCGGCCGCAAGCTCGCGTCTATCCTTTTATGTTGTTGGAACCATGTTCGCTTACTCCGACCTGTTTCAA